ACAGACTGACAGGTGCCAGAAAGGAGTTGGGGGGACAAGGTAAGATGGTGAAAGGATTAATCAAAGAACTTTATTCACAACCCAGGGTCATGGACAACAGTATGGGAATTAGCTTGGGGTGGGGAGAACGTAGGGCTGGCTGGAAGTAGGGAAAGGGAGAAAAAGCAGAAACAACTGTAACAGCATAAGCAATTTTTTTTTTAAAAAAAGAAACGGACAAAACAGGCTGTTGTGTAAATGTTATTCCATGGAAATTGGTGAAGAAGTAAAAGCAATAGACAAGTTAGTACAGAAAAGCTTTCAGTCAGTTGCTAACCAATGATAGATTCACTGAGTAAGGCTACTGGTTCAAAGAAATTATACAATTTGTCTATTCTACAATCCAAAATCTAAACTTATTTGGGAATAAACAGTACATGCAAAGTCTGTGGTAGGTGCTGGGAATAAAAGACAGACAAGTGACATGATCCCTGCTTTTAAGGAGCTTACAACATAGTCCAACAAATGTAAGGAAAAAAATCAGTGTTTTGTGGAGGGGGCTTTGTTGTTTTCCTATTCCACTAAAATCTTGTCAAATGCTTTGGCCACCTTTAAAGCAATCTCCCTGGAGGTAGCAATCACATCCATTTAGAGTGATAGTACATTATGTGGTTTAAGTGTATAGACTATTTGGGTTTACACTCCAGCTCTGCCATTTACTAACTGCAACCTTGGAAAAGAACTGAACATCATTTTGCCTCAGTTTCTTCATCTAAAAATGTGAGGAATACTTGTAATTCTTTCATAGGGTTATTAAAATAGTTAAATAAATTAATGTATATGAAGACTTTAGATCAGTATTCCTCACAGAATATTCAATATTTATTTTTTAAAGTGAGTTGAAGAAAGAGATCTGGTCAATAAATGAAAAGCTCCTAACTCCAAAAATCTGTGCAATTCTTATGAAAGGAACTCAAGAATGTTCATGCATAAACATAACCAAGAGGTTACAAAAAGTCACAGTAATTTCTCAAGTTAAGAAAACAGTGTGATTAATCTTTATTACTAAAACAAAATGTATGCATGTTTTCCTGTTGATGCATCATGCAAAAAAGAGCTAGATCAATTTTCACTAAATATTGAAGATATATTTAGTATGGAGTGATCTAAAATATAAGCTATTTTACATAAATAAAACATTCTGCAGGGGACTGAAACAAACAGGTGGTCATCCTACAAAAGTGCTAAAACTGTTACTCAACAGGAGGCCTCTTTGACTGCCAAACAGGAGAGAGAAACCAAATATGTATATATTCCAAAAGTGATTTTTAAAAATGAGCTTCAAATAGGAAGTCACCAGGGCACATGTTCCAAAGTGCAAGAATAGATTTACAATTGATCTATTTATTCTATGGGCAACTTTATTTATAGGTATTGAAAAACACAGGATGATTTTTTGAAAAAGTGTTGTTAGAGATTCTCTTAATAACCACTGGCCCATACTATTTCATAGACTAACCCAGTAGAAACCAAATCTCCCATTATAAACAAAAATGTCAACCTAACCATAGTGACGCTGGTTGAAATGCCAGGACAATTTGACTTCTCAAAGTCTGATACCAGACTGACTTTTGAAACTAGACTCTACCAATGCTACTTCTTGCTACAATGGTTACCATTTTTAAATAACTCATGTTCTAACATCAACTATTTTTTTCCACTCACAAGAAAAATAAAATCTAAAGAAAAAATAGTTGCAACAATGTCCACAGGAGCCACACTGGTTTTACAGTCACTGTAAATTTTTTAGAAACATGAAATTTACTTGGGAAAAGTTTTCAATGTCATTTTACAAACCATAATAATTTACTCGATGATAAAAATTGCAAGCAATGAGATGGAACACCACAGAGGACAGAGTGAGTTTTATCTTGTTAGTGCTCAGTTCAATTCATCAAAGTATCTTCTGCCAGCCTAAGTGACAGGTAATGTGCTGGCTGCTAGAGATAAAAAGGTAAAAGGTATTGGCAACACGGAATGGTACCTAAATAGAGTATATATAAGCATAAAATTCATTTTAAAAAGGAAAATCTGTTCTAAGGTTGTCAGGAAAGAGCAGGCTTTGAAGGGAAAGAACAGCATGTCATAAGGACAAGACAAGGAAGAAGCAGGGCATGTCAAAGGAAGGGGAAAAAAGCAGATGCAAAGACAAAGATGGAGACTGGGAACAGCATAATACAGTTAAGTGTAATTGCTGGTATATAAGTTATAAAGTGTTCCCTGGGTTGTTTTATTCTTAACTAAACTGAGTTTGGAGAAAAGATGGGAAAGTGATTTTTTTTTCTTTCCCTTTGGTTAAATAAGCTATGACACAGAAATATTTTAGTTTATTATATTTTCATTCTAAGACTTTTAATAAGCTGTAGCCAGGCAAACTAGAACAGAGCTAATAGAAATATAGCACAAACCACATATATAAGTTTAAATTTCCTATTAGCCTCATTTTAAAAAGTAAAAGACAAAGGTAAAATTAATTTTAATAATAAATTTTCCTTAACCTAATTATGAAAATCTTATCATTTCAATTTAGAATCAAGATAAGAATTATCAAGAATATATTTTAGATTTGTAAAATGAATCTCTAATATCTTTTTTACACTTACAATACATCTCAATTTAGATGGTAATTTTTTCATCTATCAGAAATACTTGAACTATACTTGGATTTCAAAAAAATTTAGTTGAAAAAGTAAATTCGCGTTTTCCAAACATACTTAGAAGTTACCTAGTCACTGAAATGAATTTTTTTTTAATTAAAATTGAATAAAATTCAGTTACTTGGTGGTGCTAGCCACATTTCAAGGGCCCATCGGACTAGTGGCAGCTGTAGTTGGACAGGTGAGTTCTAGAATAAGTGTGGGTCAAATCTCTAGCCTAAAATTAATATTAAAAACCACATCAATAAACAGATTATCAGGTTGGTAATGGGGTACTAGGATTAGGCATTTTAGATCACCTTCAATCTGTTTTGTGGGTCTGCATCCACTCAGACAAGATAGAGCTAGAAGTGAGGATATCTGGAAAAGGTCTTGCAAACAGCAAGGAGACTGATGTTAACTGGAGAAAGCTTCGAAAGTCCATGATGTAAAGCAGAAAGTTCATTCTAGGCCTTATCCCTATTATTGAAGCAAATAAATAGATTCAAGTGGTGAACATAATGGGGATAGTTTTCCTACTGACCACACTCACCCAAAAAACCATCCACGACACACAAAAAACAAAATTATAAAATACATGTTCTAATGTTTTTCCAACAAAATTTTATTTTTTGTTTTACTTAGGCAAAAGTATAGATATGCTTCATTCACAAAGTCTTATATAAAAATCGGAAAGACTAAACTGATCATTACATTTCAAAGAGACTATTTCATAAGTATTTCTTATTTTATCAAAGAGGGTTCCTCCAGGAATATCCATCAAGGATTCACCAATCATCCAGAATATTCCATTATTTATTTACTATATCTCTTTTGAATGTCTATTATATTCCAGGTGACCTGCTAGGCAAAGAAATTACAACAGTGAACTAGAAAGACCCACCCCCATGGGACAGTGATGAAGCTGTCAGAGGGAAGGTACTGAGTGTGATGGGAGCGCGCTGGAGTACAGTTGCCAGATTTACCAAATAAAAATACCGATGCCTAATATTGCATGGGACATGCTCATACTAAAAATTATTTATCTGAACATCAAACTTAGCTGAGCATCTTATCTTTTATTTCACAAACCTACATTAGAGGGACAGCTTGGAAGTGGAGGTAGAGTGAATGGAAAGAAAGGAAGACTTCCACCAGAAAATGCCTTCCAAAAGGAATCCCGAGCACAGCAGGGAAAAGGCCGCGAGAAATCATTCCGGGGGAAACAATGCAAACTTAAGTGCAAACTTAAGTCCCAAAGTAACTGTCAATCTAAGAACTGAAAGAGGCAAAGAAATTGTGGTAAAGAAAAAATGAAGAGGGAAGACGGGGGGATGTGGGTGAAAGATAAAGCCTGAGGGAAAAGCAGAAGACACTTTCATAAAGACTTTGTACTTTACCATAAGATGAGTGTGATTCCATTAAAGAACTTTAAGCAGCCTGTTCCGGCTACAGTGTGCAGGATGGACTACAGTCGAGCTGGCAAGGTACTGAGACCAGTAAGAAGGCTACTGCTGTAATTCGGGATCTCAACAGAAGCCTGAACAAAGGCAATGTGGGGAGGCAGACCCATTAGGAACACCATAACTAGAGATAGTAACGAAAGAGGCAACTGCAAACGGGAATAGAAAAGAGGACCTAGAGGGAGAAAAAGCAGGACAAGCATACATTATGGAAAACAATGAAGAAATAGTCGAGTCAAATGTTTCTTGAGGAGTCAATTAAGATAGGGACTGAGAAGTGATGCCTAGATTTAACTGTAGGAAAATCACCGGTGACCTTGAGAAGGGAAGCCTCAAGAAATGGGTGAGGCCATACTAGGTTACAGTTGTTTGAGAAGAAGGTGATGCTGTGCTAGGAACCGGCGGAAGCAACGCCAGGGTTCCACGTCCCCTTGGCCCGTTTAGAAGTTGAGGGTCAAGGACAAGAGTAGAGTTTGGAGCTGGAGCAAGCCAGTATCCCACAGTCTGTACAACGGAGCGGGCTGATCGTAAAGGTCCAATCCTTTCCCAGAGCACACTTGACTGACAGAGCTGGGCGCCAAAGACTGAGCGCATAGCGGGAGGCCGCGAATCACAAGGGGGAGGAATTCCAGGGCACTAACCCGGAACCGGTTTGGGACTCGACTCCCATTGTGAGGCCAGACCTGGGGCGGGCCGTCAGCCAGAAAGGCTTACCATCCGGACCAATAGACAAGCCTCATCGAAATAGCGGCAGCCGCGTCACCCAATAGGCGGTGGCAAGGGGGCGGGCGAGTAGGGGGGTGGGGAATCAATGAAGCATCTTTTTTTTCCCTATCCCTTTAGAGGCATCCGGGCGGTGGTGCCGTGGGGTCGCAGGTGTGCGGCTTTGTCCCAGAGGACGCGGCGGTTCCTTGGACGGTGGGTGCCCTCGCAGCGGGGAAGGTCCGGACGGGGTCAGCGGCAGGTGGCTGTCCCCCTACCCGCAACACCACTGCGGGCTCTGGCCCTGGCTCTGCGGCGTAGCTGGACTACAACGCTTGGGAGAAGTACCAGTCGGGGCTGCAGCCTGACCTGGGAGGGTGGGCAGGGCCCCGGACCCTGAAACAAGACTTCAGAAGTTTGCGGACACCTGATGGGGACTCTTAATTCGGTATTTAGAGAAAGGACTCCGCTTGCTGGTTGCCCCTTCTCCCACCAGGTGCAGCCGCAGCAGCAGCGTTGTGACCGAGTCAGGTGCGCTCCCCCTGCTCGCTGCTCCTGGGAGGCCTCCTGGGAATTCAGTTTTCCTGGATTCCTCCTAGGGATTGTGGCTGGGCTGTCCGAAGAGAAGCAGCAAGGAGGGAATGAAGAATGATTTATTAATCTAGTAACTGGCGACCTTAAGTAAACTTTATTTACCTACCACAGGTTTTACGAAAGAGCATTTTATTAGGCAGGGAAGTTAATTTCCTGTAACAGCGATTTTCAACCTTTTTCATCTCATGGCACACATAAACTACTAAAATTCTGCTGTAAATCAAAAGTATATTTTTTGCTCACCTGACCAGAAAAAAATAGGTATAATTTTGATTTGTTCACACCAGACGACTGTCGTGTTACTATTATTCATTTTTGTTACAGGCTAAGGGAAAAGAGTTCAGTGCCCTTGATTGCATATTCAAGTATTGCATGTTTTAAATATTCTCACCATACACCAGTGTCCCAGCACACAGATTAAAAGTTGCTGTCCTATGAGAATATAGGTGGCGGGGGGAAACTCACAGATTTTGTGATGCTTTTCTTGAATAGCCTAATGAATTTGCTCCCCTGCTCCCCAGTTTTTTTGGACCCAGAATTTACTGCCTAATTTTACTCATCTTTTAATTGTGTCTTATTATGCAATATTTAGGAACTTCATTCTCCAGTGTTAGTCCTTGAAAAAAAATTGCCCAGTTATATAAATGCCGTTGGCGGTACATCATCTTCATAAGGATTACGTAAGTGAACTACTTATTATACTCACATGCAATCAGTAAAGAATGATTGTGAGATAGGATTAGGGAAAATGGCTGTTCTCTGTGATAGGGCATGTAAGATCTATAAATTTTTAGCCTTTGCAACTACCTTCTGTAAAGGTGGGGACAACCACCAATATAAAAGGGATAGTATTTTATATCTAAAAGAGGATCTTTTCACATTTTATGAGGCATTATATCCCCAGCACCAAGAATATGTGCCTGGCATATAGTAGGAGCTCAACAAATAATTTGAGTAAAATATTGGGTAAGAGATGACAGAAAACCCAAGCTCTGTTTTATTAGTACCAAAAGGTAAAGAAGAGGATAGGAAAAATGCACATTCCTGGAAATAAAGGTTCATTTCTATCCCTGCAAGCATAGCTACCAAATTTAAGCTCAAAGTGCATTAATTTTGATACTTTTCTAACATCAGTCAGAAGCTGTCAAAGGAGTTTTACACAATTAAGCCATGACTGATTAGAAATCGAAGATACAACCTAATATCACTTTCAGTGAGGTGAAAACTCTGTGTTAAAGTACATTTGGTCAATGCAATAATCCAGCAGTTTAGCATAGAATAGGCAGGGACAAAGGGATACCACTTTTGTGAGGCAGAGGTATGGAGTTACAAATTGTTGGAAAAAATAGGACATGCAAATAACAATGACTGCGACCAAAATTTAAAAAATGTTTACTCAGGCATAGTTTTAAGAGGACTGTTACTCCTTCCAGGTACCAGTCAGTTCACCACATTCCAATTACTAAATCTCATAGTCTAAGAGCAGCAAAATCTAATGATGGGTATCTGCATAAATTAGGAATCTCTTGACAACTGTAATATCATTTTATATAATTTTTGTGTTGTTATAGTAACATTGCTTCCATATAGAAGGTAATCTGCTTGAATTTTCACAGATATATTTGACTCTTGTAGTAAGTTTTCTACCAGCAAATTAAAGATAGGCTGACATTTGCCCCCAACCTAGTTTCTCCCCTTTATTACTACCTCTCATTAATCTATTTGTTTTATAAGATCCAAATCAAATGTTGATTTCTTCTGACAACATCCTTGATCCCACCAAAAGTTTGTACTTTATTTAACACCAGTGTATTTTGTTAGTACTTCTCTTGTTGCACTTTTCATATATTCACATTATTTATTCAGTAAAGATATATTCACTTACTGTATCCAAACACTTTACTAGGAAATGGATAATGGCTGGTATTTGTTGAGGACTTACTATATCTTAGGCATTGTGAGATTCTTAATTGGATTAAGAATATATGGGTTAAATAAAATATGTTAAAAGTAATTCCACCTTTTGTTTTTGCTTTACTGTGGCTGCTAGAAAAACTTTAAATTATCAATACATATGTGGGTCACATTTTTCTATGGATAGAGCTGTACTATTGTAGATCCTTGTTGCTCAGGGTATAGTTCAAGGACTGGCAACATCAGCATCAGGCGGGAGTTTGTCAGAAATGTAGAATTGCTGGCCCCGCTCCAGACCTGTTGAATCTCAATCTCATTTTAAGAAGAGCTCCAGGCAGTTCATAAACATAAAGTTTGAGAGATGCTGCTCTACCAATTATCTTCAGAATTTCATAATTTTTCTTCATTTCTTGATTATTTTTTATTGTAGAGGCTGGTAAGTTTTTACTTTCATGATTTCCTCATTGACTCTTCATTTCCTTTATAGAATCATTCATAGACATTTCATTTTTCTGTTTTCAATGAATTCTTTCACTTCTGTATATTTTTACATCTCTACATTTCAGCAGTCACTGCTTTTTTGGTTGCATATGTGAATGAAATTGATATGTATTCATGTAATATGTAATACATGATGTGTGTTCATAAGTACATGCATGCTATTATAAATGTATGATTTTCTGGAATCCCAGAAAATTATTAATATTACATTGGTGGTAGAAATTTCCTTTGTTTTGTACCTTTATATAGGTTTTCTAACCACATATGTATATTTTGCTTTTTTTAAGTCAACAAAGTTTGGGTATTTGTGGGACTTTAAAAAATGTATTTTTCTGTAATACAAATCCTCATAAGTATAACATAATTTTAACATAATGTTAATCACCTGAAAGTAAAATAAAACCATTGTGCTGTCGCCTAACAAACAGCTACATGGCTGAGACAGAAATGACTGTGCATGAGATCCCTAGAGCTGGTGATTGGGCAGAACCTGTTGCAGAGCATAGTGTATCCTGTCTGTAAATGTTCCTAAGTTGAAAATTGAGCTTCTTTGATAGTGTACACACACACATAGACATACATACTCCCTTTCTGACTTTGTTGGCTTGCGCATTAACTAGCATTTACACGGCAATAATGTTGCAATAAGCCATATTCACACTCTCATGTGGATTTATCGCATATATTCCATTATGTAGCAGTTTATTCATCTAGTCCCCTGTTGATGAATATTTGTACTTCTACCATGCTTTTGCCTTAAAAATATGATAGTGCTTTGTAAATGATTCAATAAACTAAATAGTCTGAGACCTTTTCTATGTTTTGGAAACAAAAAGTCATCTTTATACAGAGTATTTAATTTGATATGTAATTTGATATAACTTGCACTCTTTTATTTTTAAGGACATCTAACTTGCTGATTCCATTTAAAAATGTATCTAATAACCTGCCCATCATTGACCATACTGCCTAAGTAACAATATAACTCGTTTACTTAAAACTTTTTTCAGATTTTGTATAATTTGTTGACTGTTATGTTCTTCAGCATCATTATAGGGTGGGTAGGTTACCTAAAGTTTTTACTTTATCTTCATAAGCTGTTTCTTGCCTGTATCAACTTGGGATGCCTTTTAAAGCATATGTTTTGCCCATAGAAGTTTCAGTTTTGCTATCTTACCTTCCTTGAGTTATTTTGTTTCACATTCTACTCTTTCCCATCCCCCAGTCACCTTCTTATTTTAAGTTATATTTTTACCTCCTCCTTTTTAGGCATAGTGTTAGGTATTGAACGTACTGTCCTTGGGCTGTCTATCTCAGATCCACATAGTGGTGGAGCAGTTGGTTGAGCAAGCAAAAAGTCAAATTTTGACTTAAGTAATTCTTTGAGGTATGCTGCAACATAGATACTAACAAAAAGCACATGTGGGCTGGTTTAATTATTTATAAATCATTTTGCTTAAGTTCTTTTTATATGTGGCTTATAAACATTGTATCTCCTGAGTATTCTATGGTCTCCTGTGAAAGAAAGGGGAATACTTATGCAGCCCATTTGATCACTTGCATTATAATACATAAGGAATGTTAGGCCAGAGTGCCAGTGAAATGTGCTCCTTTAAAATTACAAATCTTCGAGAATGTTCACGAAGTTGACTTGGGATCAGATGTTAAAACATTGAACATTCTTAATTTTCATTAGGTAATATTTGAGATGTGCAAAAATAATTAGCTGTAAGTGTGCTAGTAAACCAGTGCCCTGACCACTGAACAAAATAAATTCTAGTATGTAACACTTGTCCATTTCTGTGGTGTAAATACAGCCATCTTGGCCAGTTTCTATAGCTTCCAACATGACATCATCGAATGTGGAGTTGGGAAAGGATGTGCACAGTTGGCTTTTGCCAGGTCACACCAGCAGGTTCCAACATACCCTTAATTATTGCATATGTGTTATGAAGCATAAAAGACCCATGGATCTGCCACTTGTCTTAAGAACTAAACCAATAACAATAATACCAATATTATTGTGACCTTTCTGTTTCCTTTGTCAAAACTGTTTAAAGAGTTTGCCTTTGATGCAATAATCGCAAACTTAACATTACTTGCTTAGAGTGTGCCAAGAACTATTCTCTATATTTTAGTAAATCTGTTAATCCACAGTGTCTTTGTGAAGTGACACTGTTATTTTACAAATGAAATTGCACATAGGGAGGTTAAGTCACTAAGACCATACAGTTAGGATATGGAGAGCCAGGTGTCTAACTCAGGAAGTCTAACTTTGTGCTCATAGCTGCTACTACACACACTGTCTCTTTTGATGCTTTTAATTTATGAATACCTTTGCTTAATAGTCTACTGCCAAGAGGCTTATATTTGACTATAAGGTTAGTATTTACCTAAGAAGATCAAAAGTGCGGCCACTGATTATATGTTCCAGTTTAGTGGATTTCAATTTTATTAAATATCTTTTGGGAAATTTTGGAAGTCTATATTAGAATTAGTTTGCTTGCAATTTTTTTGTGCATGCTTTGCTCTTTTTATGGGAGTGTGAAATTCACAATGATTTTTTGAAAATTCATTTTCTCCTCTTTAGAAGCTTTACTTCTCTCTGACCCTCACTTCAGCAGCAAGAGGCAGTTCAGGAGATGGTTATGCCACATGAATGATTGGAAACAAAAAAGATAGTGATGTGCATATTTTTGGTGAAGTTATTAAATACCCAATCAGTTAAAGATGACTGGGATCTTTAAAAGGAAAAATTGTATAAAAATTTAGTGAAATCATATAAAATACCTTTTTATTTGAGTTTAGAAATAAGGAATTGGCATCCATTTTTAAGTCCTAAACAGAAAAGGCTCAAACAATGGTAAGAAATATTTATGCATTTTTCAATTAAATTTAGTTAGCCTCACTCACTTGATATATTTTGCTTCAGTAGACGATACTATTTGAATTGCCAATTACTAGGGAAATATTTTTGACATTGATAAAAATTTTAAATTGATACTAAAGTATGTAAGAGAAGAAACCATGACAAAGTGAAACCTAACTGGCTGAAGCTTTGAGGTGTTTTTCTGCCTATATAAATAACGATCTAAACCTTCCACAGATATAAGAATCTGCTGTTTTTGAACATTTCTACTAAAAGACTTGAATCTCAAAACTTGGCAACACATTTCTAAGATTTAGCAATCATACGCTGCATATAAAGTGGAAGGAGATATAACCTAAGGGAACATGGATGTAAGTTCTATCATTTAACTGGCTGTGTAGTGCGCAAAGTATTTAACTTCTCTGAATTTTATAAGTAAAAATGCTGGTATCTCATGTTCAGTGCCATGGTGGGGATTGACAGGACATGAAGCTTAGCGGAGTTTTGGTATTTTTTCTTCATGGTGGTAGGAAATGTTTATGCTCACGCAGTGATGGAGCTGGAAGGGCCTTTAGCAGTCTCGTCCTCCCCTATTTTGTAGGGGAGGAAAAGTCAGCTGTATCACAGTGGTCAGTCAGTGAATCTGAAGTCAAAAACACGACTTGTGTACATAACCTTTACTCTTTCTGAGCCCTTGTCTCCCATCACCTACTTATAAAATCTTTCTAAGGAAAAGACTCACTTAAACATCTTTTCCAACTTCATACTCTTCCTTCTCCTAAGGCAAAGGCTCGATAAGAGAAAAACTACATCTTCCATCACCACCGTAATGAAGGATTTGGGCTGTGCTACAGATTCTGCCCATCAGATGCATTTGTTTCAGACCTGAAATCAAATTGTCCGAGAGAGTTAGGTGTGTTGAGCCTTACGCTGCGGTGGGTCTAGCACAGTGGTTCTCAAATTTAGCAAGCATTAGAATCATCTGGAAGGCTTATTGAAGCACAGATTAGTATACTAGGTCCTACCCCTAGAGTTTCTGATTCAGTTGGTCTGGGGCAGACCTGAAAAGCTTATCTTTCTTAACAAGTTTCAGGTGCATATACCCTTTTTGATGCTTTGACAGCATGGGTTCTGGAAACTGGAGAAGCATTCTGTCTTGCATCCATCTAAGAGAAATGTATACAAGAGGATCTTTCCCATTCAGAATTTATATTAAAATTTTGACATGAATATTTTAAAATTAATTTCATAGAGTCTCTAAGTATAGTTACTTGCTTATATCATGATCCTCAACTCTGCTATTAAAATGGCCTAGGCCAGACCGGGTATCCAACCCGTGGCCCACAGGCCATATGCAGCCCAGGATGGCTTTGAGTGCGGCCCAACACAAAATCGTAAATTTACTTAAAATACCAGCCGCCACCCCCGCATTTGTTTTCGTTAGTATTTAATATGTAGCCTCAGACAGCTCTTCCAGTGTGGCCCAGAGATGCTAAAAGGTTGGACAGCCCTGGTAGGACATTATAAAATACTGAGAAGTTCTTCAAAGAAAGGCAAATAATTAAAAAGGATTAATTGGAAACAAATAATAGCATTCAACTTTGGTGGTAGGATCTTTGGCTTAGGTGGTTTGAATGGAAGAGCGGGGAGGACTTGGTGAGCATTGAGGGACAGAATTTCAGTGGCAAACCATGAAATTGTGTATTGGTCTCCACAAGGTTTAAGAATATATATATATATATATATATATATATATATATATATATATATATTCCCCCCGCCCCGCCCCGGTGATCTTTTAGGTGGGGTGGCTGGGCGAAATCCTTGCCATTTTTATGTTACCCCTTTAATTCTGTTGTTTCCTTACAAATCTTTTATTGTTTCGGGAAATTTTATTCCAAGCTTAGAGTTTATGTGTAGGCTTAACCTAAAAATGAGTTTTTAATTATTTAGGAAATAATAAAATATAAGCAATTGTCATTTCTTTGATCAAATTACATTGCTTAAAGTTGTTTCTAAATTTTATTGATTTTGTAGCACAGCCTGTCAATGTTCCTCTAATATTATTCTACAGAGTCTGAATTTTTCTTTTTGATGTCTCAAACTAGTGGTCATTTTGGCAAAGTGACCCATTCCTTGGTTAAAAAATTATGCTGTGCCTGCCAGTGTGCCAGAAACTCTGCTAGGCTCCAGGGAGATGCTGGTGAGCAGAAACTTTGCCACCCTCATGGAACTTCTAGCTCAGTGGGGGGGGAGAGAGAGACTCTTGGCTCTGTCAGCACAAGTGTAACATTTAGACTAGGAAAAGAAAGGCAGGTTTGTAGTCCTAGCTTTTGTTAGAATGATTCGACTTGTCAGGAAAGGCCACCCTGAGGAAAGGACGTCTAACCTGGGAGCTGAAGCATGAGGAGGAACTAGTAGGCCAAGAAGAGAGCAGTCCAGTTCCTAGGCAGAGGGAACAGTGTGCACAAATGCCCGGAAGAGGGAAAGGGCTGGACAAGAGTGAGCGACCAGAAGGCCAGAGTAGTTGGAATAGAGAGGATCGACTGGGGAGAGTAGGGTGGGAGAAGGAGCTGGAGAAGTGGGACGTAGATTAAGAGTGAATATTGGCACCTAGTTAGGAATTATTACAGCAGCTCAGGTGAGAAAATGATGGTGCTGGCAGGGCCAGAAATAAATGCAGGTAGTTTTGAGCCACGTTTAGAGGCATATATATATATATATCCCTGGCTGGTGTGGCTCGTTAGTTGGGCATTGTCCTGCAAAGTGAAAGGTCTCTGGTTCAGTTCCTGATTAGGGCACAAGCTTAAGTTGTGGGTTCTGTCCCTGGTTGGGTCACATACAAGAGGCAACCAACTGATGTTTCTCTCCCTCTTTTTCTCCCTTCTCCTCTCTCTAAAAAATAAAATAGTTTTTAAAATTATGCATATAGCTTATTAGGTTGAGGGACATTGCAGAAGTTACAGGTTGATTTACTTTTACTTTTTTCCCTTTAGGAATTATCCAGCCTGCTTTTGCTACTAATGAACTGAAAACTCTGACTTAAACAAAGTGCCAACAAGGGATTGTCCTTGATTTTTGTGCTTTTTAGCATTCCTCAAATTCTTGTCACATCTTCTCTTACAGTAAAAAAAAAACCCCAAAAACCAAAAAAAAAACTACATTTAAGTTAGAAAAATGAAGCAGTTGAAAAGGAAAAGGAAAAGCAATTTTAGTGTTCAAGAAACTCAGACTCTTTTGAAGGAAATCACAAAAAGGAAAGAAGTCATTTTTTCCAAGCAGCTCAACACAACAATTAACGTGATGAAGCGCATGGCTTGGGAGGAGATTGCACAGTGTGTAAATGCGGTGGGAGAAGGAGAGCAGAGGACAGGGACAGAAGTGAAAAGGAGGTACCTTGACTGGCGAGCACTTATGAAAAGAAAGAGGATGAAGGCGAACATTAAGCTGGTTGGTTCTGGGTTTCCCCTTCCCTCATCCGATTTAGATGACTCTCTTACCGAAGAGATAGATGAAAAGATTGGATTCCGAAATGATACAAATTTTGATTGGCAAAATGTGGCAGATTTTAGGGATGCAGGTGGATCCTTAACCGAGGTCAAAGTGGAAGAGGAAGAGAGAGATCCCCAGAGTCCTGAAGTAAGTAAGAGCCCTTTTATTCATTTAATATCTTCAGTTCTGATTTGTTAGTTAATTGTAGCGCAGGAGCAGTTAAGAAGTTCCGAGATTTTGAGGCTAACTTAAAACTAGCATGTAAAGTCATTCCATTTTTCTTTTTATCATTGATCTCTTTTCACCTAAATATACTTCTCTTGATACTATGTTAGTGACATCAGCTGATTCATTGTAAATATTCCAAATTCAAAGTTCATGGTTTTATATCCTCAATACAAAAAAGATTTTAAGAAATATTTAAACAACCATGAAATAGAAATAATACTGTAAATTGCTTTTCTCTCTCTTTGTTTTTTTTTTAGTTTGAAATTGAGGAGGAAGAAGAAATACTGTCATCAGTCATACCAGATTCCAGGAGGGAAAATGAACTTCCTGATTTCCCCCACATTGATGAGTTTTTTACTCTAAACTCAGCACCGTCAAGGTCTGCCTATGATGAGCCCCATTTGCTTGTAAACATAGAGAAACAGAAACTAGAGTTGGAAAAACGACGGCTGGATATTGAAGCTGAGAGGCTGCAGGTAGAAAAGGAACGGCTGCAGATTGAGAAAGAGAGGCTGCGGCATTTAGACATGGAGCACGAGCGGCTTCAGCTGGAGAAGGAGCGACTGCAGATTGAGAGAGAGAAGTTGAGGTTACAGATAGTCAACTCAGAGAAACCATCTTTGGAAAATGAACTTGGTCAAGGAGAAAAGTCCTTACTTCAGCCACAGGACATAGAAACAGAGAAGTTAAAACTTGAGAGAGAACGCTTACAACTGGAAAAAGATAGGCTGCAGTTTTTGAAATTTGAATCGGAGAAGCTGCAGATTGAAAAGGAACGCTTACAAGTAGAGAAAGAGAGACTTCGAATTCAGAAGGAAGGACACTTGCAGTGATTTCTCTAGGTCTCTGTTAGCAAATGTTTGTAATCCACAGGTTTTTCTCAATATCAGATAACATGAAAATGGTTGCAGGATTAGCTGTTTTTTTCCCTTGTTTAATGTCGGTGTTTTCAGTAGGAAAAGATAGTTATATGTGGGTAACTATATATTTAAGTAGTATATTATATAAAAATTATGTGCCCTAGCGTAAACAGTATAGCAGGAGCTATTGTGCTATGCTCCTTATATTAGTAAAATTACATAAGCGTGTATAATCTGTGCACTCAGAGTTTACAATTATATCTGTAAAATTCAAGCTCAGTGATTCTCAACTGGGGGCTGAGTTTGGAGACATTTTTGGTTTCAACACTGGTATGTGGTGGGTAGAGGCCCGGAGTGTCCGCATCCGGCAGCTCACGGAATAACCCCTGCAAAAAATTGTCCAACCAAAAGTGTCAGTATTACTGAGAGTGAGAAACCCTACCCCGGCCTGACTGTGCACCTTGATAGCTTTGTTTTACAGTTTCAGAATATTAAAACCTCAGATATTTATGTGGGTCGTTAACTTAAATGGCCAAAAAAACTTTATGAAACATTACTGTGTAGTAGATAGAATTTAGGAAGTGGTGAAGATGATAGGTATTTTATTTCCATGTGTCTATCTATAACCCAATTCAGAAAACAATACAGGGAACATCAGAAACTGTCCAGAATGAGTCACTTTGAAAAGCAGTTCATTCCTCTGACTATGGATGTTTTGGAAGCAACCCACTTTTTGGGCTTTAGGTCCCTTTCTTCTTGGAATCCATTTTCATAGCTTAGATATAAAACTTGTCATTTCAACTGTGTACTGAAATCTTCGGGTAAGTGCATGGATTGAAGCTAGTGAAAATGATATGAAAATGGTACTAATACTCCATGAGCTTAACTCAACGAGTGGTTGTTTGATTTCTAAGGTACATAATAGCAGCTGTTTGGGAATGGGGGTGGGGGGAGAATGTCCTGAATCATGATGATGATGATGATGAAATAATGACGGTAGTAGCTGTGTGTTATGAATTAGGGAAACATCGTGCACTATCTGACCTAATCTGTAGAGCAATTCTTGGGAATAGTACCTAATACTATTCCTTAAATTGGGGCTCAGAGAAGTCGCATAGCGAATCTCATATATTGTGTATTCTGTCTTTGCCCCTTCCTGAGGAAGTTTTTATCTTCAGTCTATCGATATGTATTCTGAGACCGAGGACTTGCTTAACCTGGTGATTTGCCTTCAGTCCCCTGAAGGTGCTTTTTCCACAATACAGGTGATTCTAATGCACACGAAAGTTGAGAATCACTGCAGGATCACTTTGTATTTTCTGATTTCCAGGGCTGATATGTATGTAGCTTTAATACATTTCTTCTGTTGACAGATACTACCTTGATTCTGCATTTGTTCATTGTTAATTTAAGAATGTCTTGAAATCATGTGATATTGGAGTATGGGTATACAAGGAAAAAATACACATCTGTTTAGTTACCTTGACTTTGAAATAGTGTTATTTTTTTATAACTGAAATAAATGCTTCTACTCTAGAAATAAAATTTGCCTACACTAACTGTCTGAAGGCCTATTTCAAGTGAAGCTGTGGGCTGTGAGTGTTGAGGTTATCAAGCCTGGAAGGGAGCCTTGTCATTGTGAATGGGGTAGGGGACATAACATTTGTGTTAGGCATTAGGCTGTGTGCTTTTCATACATTATTTTATTTGATCCTCAGAACAGCCCTTGAGCCAAGTCATCTTATGCCTACTTTTATAAGAAAGGAAACAGTGCCTTGTTAATTAACTAAATGCCTGAAAAATGACATCAGTCCTGATCCAATATTTCAGTATAAGAACTCTAAGGAGAAGTAGTGAAAACTTGTCGGTGTAGTTAGATGTAGCTTTGCTACTTACTACTTGTGAAAGTCATTTAACTTGCCCTGTGATTTGATTTCCTCATCTATAAAATGGGTTTACTGGTACCTGGCCTACCTATGCTTCGTAGTCTTTTTTGCTTTCCTTATTCTACTCAAGTTGTTCATCAAGTCCTGTCTTGTCTTCTTTTGATGGTCCCACCTCACATGTAGTCCTTAGCATGGTGGCATTTTCAAGGCGTATTTCAGCAGCCGTCTGTCTCTCAGTTCCTTTCTTCCTATTCCTCCCAGTTTGCCACTTTCCAGAATAGATATCCCTCAAGTACTGCTTTTATTATGCCATGAGAATAAACAGCATGAAGAAGTGGGAGAGGAGCAGAGCATTGGAAAGATGGCAGGTCCAGCCCCAGCTCCACTTTAGCAGCTGGGTGATGTGGGACCATCGGTGTCTCTGAGCCTCATTGTTCTTGTCTCTGTTACATTGAATATGTATATGCCCTGCTTAACTCTTACCATGTATGGAATAATAACATTAAGAAAATGCAGTTTAAAACTAGAAAGCATCTTAAAGATACGACAGATGTGTCCTACCTGAAATTAGTTTCCCATTTCCTTTTGTATCAAGTGTAAAGTCCTGCTTTGTTTAAGATTTTCTTTACCAACATAATTAAATGTTTGTCAAGCTGCTCTCCAAATACTCCACTAATTTTTCTTCCCTTTGTCTTTGATCCTGTTGCTTTCATCCTTGACCTTTCCATTTTCTATCTTAGCGTGAAAATCAGCAAAGCAAAGCTTTTTCAGATCCAGGGACTTCATCATTTCTACCATTCTCTACCATAGTTTAAAAATATTAAAATGAATTCTGCTGAATAAAATTGGAATATTTTATCATATAAAACTGGCATTATGTCTTTCAAAGTCTCCTTGGAGAACTTTTGAAATGTTAAAATCAATGTCAGTCTGCTCAGTTTATGAGTCACTCCCCACTTGTCTGAACACTGCTCCTAAACCTTCGCAGTGGGCTGTGGCAGCCACGTGTGTATTGTGTGAATCTGACCCTTCGGATGTACTGTGTCCACTTGCACCAGAAGTGAACTTGGCGTGGCCTTGCATTCTCTGAGGTAACTACCATTTGGAGGATTCTCTTTCCCGTTAAAGATGATCTATGTCATGACCCAGATCTCATGTTTCTTTTGATGATTCTACATATAAAAAGAGTAACAAAGATTTTAATTCATATATATTCACTATGTACTCTGGTGCCCTCCTATGAGACTCAGGATGAGTTGTTGAGTTTAGGTTCTCTTTGCTTTCTATGCTATTTCCAGATCTTTGCTCCTTCATTCCTTTATGAAAGAAAAAATACCCTGCACCTTTGAGGTGCACCCCCAAAGTCACTGTATTCATTCTTTTTATTACTCTTAGCTGCACATTCATTCATTGACTTATCGGCCTACCATTGCTCATCCTAAGAAGTTCCCAGGCAATTGTAGTGTCCAAGTGAAGAACCCTGAAAGCTTTGGCCACTTAGTTCTGTGTTTTCGTCACCAGTTCCAATTCTTCCACTTCATCTTAATCACTTGTCTGTCTCAGTATTCTGGGTCCAGCCACCTCTCCTCTGTAATAACTAATTCAAACACTAACTCAGTGACCGCAATCTCTAATCCAGCTTGCTGCAAGTGTTTATCATCCTCAGCACTTGAGTCCAATTCCCCGTCCAATTTCTCCTCTCACAAATGTTTTTCCCCCCAGCTCCGATTCCGTGACCACCATTTCACTCACATACCCAGGCAGATTGGTGACACTGAATTCACAACCCCTTCTGAGCTCTCAACACTGCCTGCCAATCCTACTCTGGTTCTTTACCCTCTTCCACTCTCCAAAACCATGTGCTCTGGGTTAAACTGTATCTTCCAAAAAGACTTGTTGAAATTGGAACATCAGGTACTTGTGAATGTAATGTTATTTGGAAATAGTATTTATGGATGTAATCAATACTGGGTTAGGGTGGAACCTAAACCCGACAACTGTTATCTGTATGAGAGGGAGAGATTTGGATATGGTAATACACACAGAGGAGGACCTTTGAAGCTAGATTTAGAGATTGGAGGGATGCAACTAAAAGCCAAGGAATGCCCTTGCTGGAAACTACCAGAAGGTAGGAGAGAGGCATGGGACAGATTCTCCTTCAGCATCTTGAACTGTGAAGTTCCTAAACCAAGTTAACAAAAAACTAAGCATCACACTTACTGAATCAAAATGGGATAGGATTCAACAATCCATATTTTAGGTAGGTTCTTCAGGTGATTCTCATGCACACTAAGGTTTGGAAACTATAGCTCTATAATTTTTACCTAGATGCTCAGCCATTCCAATGGCTTCCATTACTATATGTATACTGACTCTCAAAGTCAAACCTCTAACCCAGATTTATACTCTGTTCTTTTCAAATGTTTCACAGACACCTCAAAGTCAATGCATCCAACCTGGAACTAATTAAATGATAGCATCCTTCTCCCAGGGCTTCAAGCTAGAAGCCTGACTTTCATCTTTGACTCATCCCTGATTTTCACACAGAAATCCAATCATTCATGGTTGTCTTGTGTATTTTACCTCTAATAATTTTTTATTCTGTACACTTTCATTTCCATTGTCAACATATTATCCCAAATTCAACATTGTTTCACTTGAACTAATGCATACTCCCAATCCTTCATTCCCAGTTAAGGAGATGATTTGTATTAATACAAATTTGGGTGTTACTTAGTAATGGATGATACATCTGTTTCACCTATATTTTGTATCACTTAGGATAACTTCAACTCCAATTAAGTAGAAAAATAACCTTATATGGCTCAAATGATAAGGTAATTTATGATTCTATAAAAAGCCCAAGGTTCGATGGTTCCAGAGCTGTTTGGTGTGGCAGCTCCTCATGAAGGAACAGCATCTGTCTGTCTGCTGGAGGACCACTGCAGTCTTGTTGTAGAGTGTGGCGTTCCTTATAGCCCCTGAAGAATGCAAAACATGGGCTGCATGACAGGGCAGCCCATGTGCTGGAAGGAGAACCACAGACCGGTGGGCAATGACCGGAAATGCCACAGATGAGATGACTTCTCTATATGCGTTACTGAAATCACTAAGGATGGTGACAAGAATGTCAAGGAAGGGTAGAAAGTCAGGGGCTAAAATACCTCTTGAATACATGAGAAGCAGCCAGGAAGGTGGTGGTCAATTGCAATAAATGGAGGTAAAGATGGTATAATCTTAAGGCGTGTGCTCCAGTGGAGCTGAACTTTTAGTAAGAAAAGAAAAGGATCTAGTAGCAACAATAAGGAGGGAGAGGGCACGGATCCCACCTTCAGACTCGGAGAATGCACAGAGCCATCATTTTAGAGGGCTTTGAGGGCAGCTATGTCCTTAGGAGGCATCCAGTTTTTCAAGTGACAGTTACATGATAGAATCATGGCCACAGAAGGAACTGGGAAGTGGGACGTGCCCAAATAAAAATCAAGGATTTGGGTTCAAACATTCTGAAAGAGAAATACATGTTGTGGGATGATAACAGTTTTTGCTGCGAGTACTACCTCCCCCACTGTTACTGTTTTATTTGTTAGAGGGATTTAGGAGGATGTCATGTGGGATGTTCTTAACATCTTAACATCTGTACTTTTAGGGCAATGCCTCCCAGTAGGTGTTCATGAATGGATTGCAAGTGCACCTCCGCTCTAGGCATGGCGATGAAGGGCCTCCGACCAGGAGTTGCTCCCTTAGGGAAATCTCTGAGGGCAAGCCCCAGAGCCATTGCTGATTCACCTGGCACCTGCTGCTCTGCCAATAGGTATAAATGAGGCCAAGGAGCGTGGTCCTCTGGATATCTAGTTTAGTAACCACATGAAGAGTGTCACACTGCCCATAGTGGACAAGAGGCTCTCAAAGCTGCTGCAGAGGATTCCCAAGGTCACAGCACCTCACCCAAGGTCTTGTCTTGTCTGTGGGTGGGAAGTGCAGTGGAAGGAGAGAGGCTCTGCAAAGCATAGCTCTTAGCTGCAGTAGCAAACAATCT